CCCACCTCGCACAAACTTTACGGTAACGAAGATGATCTGTTATGATTGTGTGGATTGAAGTTCGACAAATATCGATTTCAGGAGGCATTGAGTCCAAAATTCTGTCAATTGTAAAGCGCCTATCCGCCAAAATGATTTTTTCGACTGCTGCGACTGCGTCATCTGTAATGGCGGTTTTTGGCCTGCCTGCACGCTGCTCATCATGAACTTCTCCGCGTCCCTCGAGAAAATATGTACGCCACCGACGCACCATTTGCACACTCATGCATTTGTCACCATAAATATGCACTAATTCAGTGTGAATTTCGTTGCCATTAAGCCCTTTTGCAGTTAAAAAGCGAATAACTGCACGCAACTCACAAGTGGACACGTTTTTCACAGGTAGCTCCATGGTTTCCGAGCCGGTACTGATGAAAAAAATTTTTTCGGCAGCTAAGACCAGTTCCGCTCTTATCGGTATATCCTAAACTAAAACTATGTTCGGTCCCAGCTCGCTAGATGGCGCTGGGGCAAAACGGCAGACTAGGGAAACTTACTTTTTGAACACCCCTCGTATATTAGTAATTCAAGATTAAATTATTTAAAGCAATGAAGATCCAGCTTCGACCGTAATAAGCATTTTTCTATGATTGGTTGTATTGTTTCTGCTTTCTTTTCTGCAATTCTGATTGGATTTCATGGTGCCATCCCATGAATGGAAATTTAGCGGAACGGAACAGCGAGATCAATTACAATCGCAGAAAAGAAAAAAAATAATTACTGCAGAATTGTGATTGGTCGTGCTTTACCGTACTCTATTGTCTACTGCATATTGGATACAATGAGCGATGAGCGACGAGCGATATCCAATGAAAGCTCTGCTTTGCATCGTCACGTAAGAAAAAGTAGAATTTTTATTGAATATCGCTAGTCGCTCATCGCGCCCAGTGTGCAATAGGCGCAATGGCTCCTGCACACAAAATGCGGCAACGCTTGCCGCGCGACAGAAGTTGTCGCACCAACCAATAATTTTATGTTTTTAAGTCTTCCTCACCATGCAAAACTTCTAGAAATAATGTAATATTACTTCCGCCGCGGTGGAAATTATATATATATTATTTTCGAATAAGTGAGATGTTGATTGGCTATTGCGCCAATTTCCGTCGCGCCATAAGGATACCGCCCTTAGTGCGATGTAAACTAAGAATGCGATTACATGGAGTGCGGTATGTGATTCGCGGTTCCCTAGTTGTCTAGTTAGTTACTATTAGTTACTGTACCGCGTACCGCGTTCTATATATAATTGTACCCTAAGACATTAACTTTTTTCGTGGGACAGATCGTTGCATCTATCTGACAGATTGTTTTGTTGTTTCGATGAAACTATTGGAAGAGTATAAAGTGACAGATTCTACTCGGTTTCTGCTATGAAATTATGTTGACACTGTTGATAGATCTGTAACCTGCAGGCAAACTGCTAGCATTTGCTCATGTTTTATGTATATCGTATTTATTAATTATTATAAATTTTCTATATACAAATTACAGATTTACAGATATAGATTAAAGTTAATGATGAAGAAAATAAGTGAGCAAGTAGACTCATCAAGTTCCGAAGATGAAAAATTTACAAATATTTTGAAGGAAGCAATTGATGAGCAATTTTTAAACAATAATCTGTATAGCATAGAAAAAGCCAAAACTATTTCTCCGTCTGGTAAGTAAAATTAATATCTTTCTTTTTTATCTTCAAGGTTTACAAAGTAACTAGGTGTGTTTATGTAATCTCTCTCATATAGAAATATCATGATGTGCTAATTATTGTTTAACGTTTTAAAAGAAGCAAAGACTGACGAACTAGAAGGAAGTCATTTCTTAAAAATAAGTTCAAAACAAACAGATGAATTTACAAATTTTGGTGTTACTGCCACATTTCAAAGTTTTATCGCCAAAAAACTAGATGAAATTTTGGAGCGGTAAGCAATAAAAATAAATATTTTGTACATGTATAAATATTAGCCTGTTTTTAATAAATTAACATTTTATCCAAATACAAATATATTTTATACAAATATCAATTTTAGAACCATAGAGATGGAAAGCAGTGAAGTTCCTAATTATTATAATGAACAGAAATGGAAAAAGGACAAAAGCTTTGGAATAAAACTTTTAAGTACATCAAAAAATTTGTTAACTATTGCAAAAATTAAAGAGGAATGTATGAAGCATAAAAAAAAATCCAAAAGAAATAGACAGACTGTAGAGGATGATGAGACCTCGTCAAGATTCCAAGAAGCTGTTATTGACCCAGAATATATATTAAACAAATTAGATTTGGAAGCTTGGGTTAATAAACGCCCAGAATCAGAATTTAAGTATAAAAGATTAAAAAATGGTGCTTTAATCGAAATGTAGTATTACTTTTCTATTTGTGTTTGTATATATGTATATACACACACATACATATATATATAAATATAAGATTCCTATAATATTCTTATTATTGAATCGTTTTTTACGAGATACATGCTCTTTTTTTCTTTTTTAGTGAAAATTTTTCTCAGAACTTTTTTGTATCGTTTTTCACAAAATTTTGCAAATTTTTTATATAAATTTTATAATTTTTTAGAATTTCTAATTAATTTCTTAAAAATTTTTTTAATTTTTTAAATACATTTAGACTTTAAAAGAAACCAAGAAAGTTACAACAAGATTCTAAATCTTAGAGTATTTTAATATTACCATTACATCAGATGTATCACTAAAAAAATTTTGATAAAATTATTAACATTTTATTCGTGAATAAATGTATCTGGATATTATTTTTTCAAGTATTACATGAAATTTAAATATCTCAAGAAAATAAATATAATAGTACAACTGCACATAACAATCAAGTTGACGATCGACATATACATATACAGGGTAAAACAAAAATGTTTAATAAACATATCATTTGTCTAATTTCCTACAATATTTTAATTTTGAGAGTCCATAACTAGTAATTTTTATTAATAAACATGTTCAATTCTGAATTATTTTGGATTTGTAGGATATTGAAGTAAAAAAAACATGAATCGTAATAAATATTGTTTAATGATCGTTATTATAATACTTTACAAAAGGTATTTAAAAAATTCCTCTATCGATTTCGATACACTTTCTATCACAAATTAATAAATTGTTTTGGATTTGATAACAATCCCAGCAACGAGAATAGATTAAAATGGATTGAAATTTTTTTCTATCCGCGCGAATGCGTATTTTAAATATCGAATACTTTTTTTTTTAGATTTAATTGAATTCAAATGGATTCAATTAGATTCAATTGGATGCAATTGGATTGAAAAGCTGCATTTTCTATTCAAAATTTTGAATTGAACAGTATTCACAATGCACAGAAAAAGCTAACATTTTTAAATTTTGAAAAGCACATAGAGACATGCTCCATGCAATTCCTATAAATGAATAAAAATGCATATAAATGAATTGAAAAGCATTTATTTTAACATTTGCGAATCAATATTTCCGAAAAATCTGAACTCCATTTCAATTCATTTTTTTGTTGGAACGCTAATGTGGCCCTCTGATTGATTTGTAGCACCTCAAGACAAAACTTGAAACGGTCTTGAATATAAGAACTGACAATGAATATCGGCCCTAATCTATTGGAAAAAAATTCAGGATTCAGAACAAACAACATGTACTACGATTCACGTTTTCTTACTTCAATATCCCGTTACTTCAAAACCGGTTGGAATTAGACATACGTATATTTTCTGTTTGTTTTTATATGCTAAAGCCGCAGTTTTAGTACTGTATAGACATGTATATATGTATATTACCTCTGAACACTGGCCTGTACGAGTGCGATATTATCATCCGATCGCCTTGGTCGCACTTTATTTGGACGCTTGGGATTAGTGAGTGCCTCACCAGTTGAAAATCTTTCATACAAACGATACAATGTGTTCGCGGAAGGCGCACTTTTCACTTTATTTATTTTTCTCCATGCACGTTGAGTTTTAACAATTGACTTGTTTTGTTGAATGTAAATTTCAACAATCTGAGAGCGTTCGCGTGGGGTGTACTGTTCCATGGCACAAATTTCCTTCGACTGACGCTTCAAACGCGCTACGTCGTTACTCGATCTAACATCTCTGTCAAAAGTTACAGTGTTGCCACATCTTTCCGTCGAATATGGCCAACCCTGTACAGTACTAAAAATCTATAGTTTCTGTTACGTATACTATACTGTGTTGACAACTGACAGTAATATACGAACACAATCCTAATATTGGCCTGAAAATAAGGATTTTACAACAAAAAAACAAATGGGGTCTAATTCGTTGCCAACTTAAATATTTATGTAATAGTCAACCTAAATGACCTAACTGATATTAACATACAAAATTATTTAATTTCTTAACAGGGTCTCTATTCTTGAAAAGTATAAGCAAAGAGAAACCTAAGAAAGGACGTGACGGCGCAAAACCTGCAAAATCCTACCGCGTATTCCTGCCCTCTGACAAAAAGTGGATGTTAATTACACAATATATCCATCTTTTTGCGGTGCTCCTGATAGAAATAGATAGTTAAAATCGCTAAAGTAACCAAAATCTATTAAATTAATAAAGATTTCAACGATTTCAGCGATTTATTTCTATCAGGGCCCGTATTCTTGAAAAGTATCGCATATGAAAAACTAGAGATGTACTATATTTGTAACGTATATTATAGCATTTCCCTAATTTTTCGTATGTGATACTTTTCAAGAATAGGGGTTACATGTAACAAGATTATATGAATCAAATATCGATTTATCATCTCCAGCCTTGAAAAGTGGACGATGCTATATAGTTTACATCCACTTTGTCATAGGGCAGTAGTACGCGGCAGCGTTTTGCGGTTACAGGTTTTGGGCCGTCATGTCTTCTCTCAGGTTTCTCTCTGGTCAGGGTATCAATCATGGAACTTTATCCCCGGGACGAAAAGTGAAAAGTGAAAATTTTTATCATTGAAATTAATGGAGAAACTTTTCACTTTTCACTTTCAATCCTAGGGATAAAGTTTTATGATTGATAACCTGGGGCTCGATTGTGTATCTTAAAATGAGGTGAAAATGACAAAAGTGAGTAATGATTATATGTAAATGGTATGAAATATTGATCTATTAAAATTCTTGGTGATAATTTCTTTTTAATTCGTTAATTGGTAGATGTATTATCGTTGTTACAATTGATAATATTATTGATCGTTGTGTAACACAAAATTTCCAGATTATGCATTATTAATGATAATCACCATAAATAAGTGATTACAAGAGCCAAAAAGATGCAGAGAATGGAAATTTATTTTACCAAGAGATTTTAAAATTTTCTGTTTGTAACATACACGAAACAAAATTCTTTAGGTCTTTTTACCTATTTTACTGATATATACCCTTTGTCGTTTTACTAATATGTGTGTACCCTATGTCTAAAAATTACATTTCATTTATAAGAATTGTTTTGTTAATAACTTTTCAATGAATAATGAGCGACGGGAAAAGTTGATGACCTTGACCTCCTTGAGGGTTAAAATCAATATCAAGGTTATTTAAAAATCATTTGGAGCTGGTCGTGTAAAGTTAAACTTTTATTATAAACATTATATACACTTTGTGCATAAATTATAAAATAAATAATATAATTGCGCGCATCTTTGCAATTGGAATGATTTATCAAAATCATAGAAAATTAACAATTGTTTGTGTAACATGTATAATAAAATATATGTACAATAAAATAAAAATGGTTTTTATTTCAAAGTATGCCAGACAGTAACAAGTTTCCTTGGATTTTGAAGCACTGAGAACCAATGCAATCTTTCTGTCGAACCTCTCACACCTTTTCCAAGAGCTACTTTACCGATAAAAGCATCGGTAGACCTTTTGAACGAACTGACAGAATCTTCACTGTCACTAGCGTCGGTGATGTTGGCAGGTAATCCTTCTGGTAAAACCTAAAATTATTGATGACATGAAAATATGATTTTGTCATATCACTGTTTTTACAAAAGTTATTTTTATTGTATGATCATTTATAATATAATATTAACACTTTGATGACCGGACTCACGTATACGTGAATTCGTTGAGGCAATGATTATCAGCCGAACTCGCATATGTGTGAGTTCACTGAGCCAGCGATTATAGACCGACTTGACGCATACGTGAGTTCATTGAATCAGCGCTTAAGACGATGCTAAAGCCGATAATATGACATCTTTGATTCATTTTTTATATTATATGTCATTCTGTCTTATTCAAACGCATACATATGTCCTTATCTAACATGTGCCAGCACCATCTATCGCAAGACTGCGCAACTACTGTTATACGGAATTTCGGTTCCCAGTCTTCGCAAAGCATCCATATATCCGTATTTTCTACACGGTGAAAATACTTTTCTTCTAGATCTTCAATCTTAGTTCTACAAACGATATCGTTCATTCTAGTAATGTGAATTATTCCGCTGCACACTTATTTTTACTATATATATATTTGCTTGATATAAGAGTTTTAGAATCCATATGTTATTGGGAGTATAAATAAGTTTCCGCCGTTTTACAAACAATGGCGCTACCAGTATATTATAGTTAAAATTGTCAGCTGTAAAACGTCATATCGTAAGATTGGACATCTGGCAAGAACATTGAAATATTAGCGATTTTGCATCAGCATCTTATATCTTTTTTCGTGCGAAAATGTCGAGTTTTGAGCCGAATAAGCATCATTTGCGGGAGCAAATTTGACTTACTTCTTTAATTTGAAGAAATCTGCAGCTGAGGCGCATCGATTGCTTGTAGAAGCATATGGTGAGGCTGCCTTAGTGAGAGAAGTTGCCGTGAGTGGTTTCAAAAGTTTAAGAACGGTGAATTTGACGTCGAAGACAAAGAACGTAGCGGAAGGCCGAAAGTGTACGAAGACGCGGAATTGGAAGCATTATTGGATGAAGATTCGTGTCAAACGCAAGAAGCACTGGTACTTACATTAGAAGTGACTCAACCTGCAATTTCACATCGCTTAAAATCGGGAATGATTCAAAGCAAGGAAATTGCGTTCCATATGAACTGAAGCCGAAAAACGTTGAACGCCGATTTTTCACATGTGAAATGTTACTTGCCAGGCATAAACGAAAGGGTTTTTTGCACCGTGTAGTCACTGGTGATGAAAAATGGATCCACTACGATAACCCAAAGAAGAAGAAATCATGGGGACCACCTGGCCATGCTTCAACATTGACAGCCAAGCCGAACATTCATGGGAAAAAGCTCATGTTGTGTATTTGGTGGGATCAGCTAGGTGTCGTTTATTATGAGTTGCTCAAACCGAACGAAACCATTACTGGAGCTCTCTACCGAACACAATTGAT